TGGTTAGGAAATTCAAAACAATGAGAGCCGCTTTACTAAATTTATAAAAAAGATATGCAAAAAGTAGCCCTCAGTGTTTTGAATTTCCTAACCAAGAGATTTTCGCTAAAACGTTTCAAAATCAGGTCTATCGATAGAGAATTAAATTGTCTACAAAATGGTTTATTTACTTTTGAGTTCTGACTTTTTCAAAAATTTCTGCAAATAAAACAAAATTATAGAAAAATGTCACGGAATTACGTACGCAGGTAGAGTTAGCTGGCCAGGCCGATAAGCGATTTACAAAATGCAATAATATCTCTTAATTCTAATATAGAACAAAAACAAAAACTAATTGAAATAATTAATATAAAACGAAAATTAAGTGACGCAAGAGCTAATTTTAAAGATATTGATAAAAATTTAAATAGAACAGATGCCATTGATCAACAAATACGTTTATTTAAAGCTTTTATTTCAAATTTAAAAGATAATCAGAACGATTGTGCAAAGTTTTTATGTAATGAATATGAAAAACGAATTAAATATCTTAATGAATATAAACAACATTTAAAACAAAATGAAAATGATGATAAGAAAACTGGAAAACATTTAGAATCAAATGAAAACTATGTATTACATGAATATTTAATTGAAAATTCAAAAGTCGAAAATATTGAAAAATTAATCAATGAATTAAAAGAATTATATAATGAAAAAGAGAAAGAAGAATTGAATAAAATTAATATTTTAAATTGAATTGAATTTAAAACTTTAAAAGCTGAAATTAATTATATTCAATCATATGATCATATTAAATTATTACAAGAAAAAGCAAAACCAATGAAATTAACTCAACTAAATAGTCGTAATCATTATGCATTTGAAATAAAAAATAAACATTATATCATTGAATTACCTGATCCAACTTCAGACTCAAATATACAAGAAAAAGAAATAAAAAAAATTAATAAAATACGTCAAACAATTAATACAATTGAACAGCGTAAAATTGAATTAGAAGCTGAACAAAAAATTCTGTTTGATAAAAAAAATGCCTATATTGAGGAAAAAAGTCATATTTTAAGAGTTTATTTGGTTTTGATTATTTTAATAATGGTGATAAATTAAATTCTAATGAATCATTAATTGCAATTTTAATTGCTGAATTAATAGATCGATCATCTCTTTATGATATTAATGGTGTGAATCAAATTGATAGTTTAGTTGAAAAGGGATTAAAACAATTATGTAAAAATATAAATAATGAAACAAGTAGAAATGAAATTATATCAATGATAAATTCAGGATATTCAAATGAAGGATGTTTATTGGTCGTTTCTATTATTGAAAATGGTATAGAAAATCAATATAAATCAGTCTATCAACATAAAATATCTAATAAAAATAAATGTCTCGTTTTATTTAAAGAAGAAAATCGCTATTTGGCTTTAAAATAGCGTTTTAAATATTATTATTAAAATTAAATGAGAAATATAAAATTTAAATAAAATTATAGAAAAAATTGAAAGCGAACTTAAATTAGCACAAAATAAGAAAATTGATTTAGAAAAACAAAAAATTGATTTGATAAGAGAAAAAAATATACTTTTAATTGATAAAAAATTTAAAAAAGAACAATTAGAAAAATAATGAAAAACAATTTAAACAAAGTGAAGCATGGAAAAAGTTCATAGAAAATTTAGTTGAGGCTTGAGCGTGATACACTAAGTATGTCAGGTAAAAAACGGCCTTTTTTGACCCTCCCTGTCCCATTTTGTCTGACTCCCTACTGCCGGACGTCCGGTCAAACTTTTTTCCCGTTTTTTACAGTGTAACTTTATCAAAAACCTTCTTGTATATAAGATGCACCTAAGGCAGACTTGCAGTAAAATTTAGTTTTCTACGTTTTATACACCATTCGATAGAAAATTTTGCGCTTATCACGAATATCACTTGCCCGGCTCTAAAAACCTTTTCTCCTCGCAGAGAAATTCACAAAATACTGAGGAAACCCCAAAATCGCAAGATTTTGAGAAAATGGCTGTAGTTTTATCGCGTTACGGTTTCAAAGCTCGAATCAAAGTTTTTTGGATTCAGCATCGAAAACTGAATTGGTAATTAATCTGAAAGTTAACACTCAAACGTCTATCCGCTAAAGACACATCGAGCTGGAGGTCTGAAAAGTGGGTCTTTGGTTTTAGAAACCTATCTAGTTTTTCGTAAGAGGTCGAAGAGCCAAGTTTTATACATGGCGAGATTCGCCAGATGTCTCTCTTCAAAAGTATAACCTTGTTTTTTTTAAATTCTGTTTCGTATGAGAAAAGTCGTTTTTTCTACATCAGAGGCGAAAAAGTCAGGGTTCTGCCGTCAATTCTTAATTTTCTGTATCAGAACTCACGTTTTGAACAATAAGAATATCATATTTGGGGTCAGGACCAAAAACTGAGTCGACTGATGTGTATTTCGAAATTTTAGCAAATTTTAGCAAATCGAAAAATACAAATGATAAAAAATTTCAGTGTCAATTAGTTGAAATGTTTTTACATAAATATGATCAAATTTTATTCGGTTTAAATAAAGATTATTGTTATGATAAACGTTTGTTCGCTTTTGAATCACTGATAAATGATATTGAAGATGACAAAGCTAAACATACGGATATTGAAAACATTCTAGCTCAACATGTGAATAGACAAACATTTTTAAATCTAACTCAAAATGATGATGATGATGGATATTTTAATTTAAATATTTTAAACTGTTTTCAATTAATTGATAAAAATAAATTACAATTAAAAATGAATAAAAAGTTTTTTACATTTAAATTCATTGATGAATTATTTAATCATCTAGATGATCAATTTAACAATAATGATGAAAATACATTAAATGAATTTTCAATAAAAGTTTCCCATATGGACAAAAATATAGAAGAAGAAAATTATGATTTTTCATGGGCAACACGTAAAGAACTTGATAATAAAAAACAAAATTTACAACAACTCTATATTTTCTATCGTTTTAAAAAGTTTACATATATACTTAAACAGTTTAATAATAATTTAATAATGAAACATATTGAAAATATCGAATCAAATTTACTTAATCTAATAACCGAATTTACATTTTTAATCAAAATTGACATGTATAGAGGACACTTCGAAGTATATGTCCTGAAGTTTTTTCGGCTTACTGACGTTATTTGGCTGAGAAAAAAATTAATTACTTAAAAAAGTGTTGTTAAATTTTTGAGCACGGGGTTATTATTAAAAAAATTCCTGTACATCCTATATTCATCACAAAAGCTTCGTTCTTGTCTAGATCGATAGAGAAATGTGTGGAGAATATTTACGACGAGAAAATTGGTAAAAAGTTTTGTTCTTTTCTTCCGGTTATTGACTAATTAGTACTAATTAACGTTAATTTAGCCTACTCTACTAGCTTACAGTCCCATTTGCAAAATAAGGACTCAAC